TTTTGGTAACTTTATAACAACTTAAAAATTCCAGATTCCTTGTGCTCTTATGCTCCATGGCCCTCTCTGATTAATGGGGACCTAATTATTACTGTTTCTGAATTATTATAGTTTCTGCATCCTTCCTTTTCTTTCTCTTACAATGTGAAATTTGTCCTCAGCAAGAGACTAAATGATACGCCTTTTAATATTTCCCTTTTGATAGCACTTGTTATGAATAAGATGGTGATGGACACCAAAGCCATTTTCATAAAGGAAGCCCGTAGATTACTGGTTGATAATTATTTCCTGTCAAGTGGTAACACCAATGGGAAAAAGGGTCACATGCATCATGGTCAACACCACATCTCCACCTGGTATGGGAACTGGTATCTGACAACTGTTCAGTAAATACTGATGGGACAAGTTACCTCATCTTAGTCTTTGGTCTTGCTAATAATCATGACACAGGCTAACTGTATAATCATGGTAAAATCATTGTGATAGGAATCAGAATTTGACTGGCCCATAACTAGTTATAATGCTGAACAAGATGCTTTGTTTCTCAGGATGTGGCCTTTTTGTTATTGAAGTTTAATTAACATATAATGTTATATTAGTTTCAGGCACAAAACATATTGATTCAACAATTTCATACATTACTCAGTCCTTACCATGGTAAGTATAATCACAAGACTTGGCTTTTTTATTGTAAAATGAGAATTTCAGATGAGATCACTACTTTGAAAACTTTTTTGTTTGACAGTTTTGTTTTAGCAATGAAACATTTTTTAAAAGATCCCTTAAGTGGAATATTAATATGTTTTATGCAGCTTCTAAAAGCAGAACAAATGTGGTTTGAAACAGAGCCAACACCTCCCTTGCTTGGCAATTCTATCATTGAGTCACTTTTTTTTTTTTTTTTTTAAGAACCCTAAGGCTCCAGAGAACACAATTTGAGAGCCAAGGGACTTAGTTGTTTTTAATATTCTAGTTTGAAAAATTTATGACCAACATGAAAAGATGTCATAGTGAAGAAAGAACACATAGTTCTCAGTAATCACTGAAATCAAGCTCCAGTCCTGCATTACTGTGTCACTTTTTGGTTCAGATTCTTGTCTATCAGATAGAACTATGTTGCTGAGTAGTGGCATGCCTATCAGTGACTAGATAACTTAGGAGGTAAGGGTTCTGGCTATCTGTTGCTATAGAAAAAACTTCCCCAAATTTTGGTGGTTCAAATAACATCTCACAATTTTATGGTTCAGGATCTCAGGCCGGGGTTGCCTAGAGGATTTTCTGTTTGCTTAATGGTATTCAGCTGGAAATTTTGGGCAGTCTGGAGAGTCCAAATCATCTTCATTCATGTGTCCTTAGTAGGGATAGATGGCTGGAAGCCAGGACCCAGCTGGGACCGTCAACTGCAGCGCCTCCTCCAGGCCTTCCCAGCATGGCAGACTCAGCGCAGTCAGATTCTTCCATAGTGGCTCAAGGCTCTAAGAAGAATGTTCCAGCAAACAAGTCTTTCCTGTATGACCTCTTATGACCCAGACTTCTAAATCATACAGCATTCCTTCTGCCATACTCTCTTGGTCAAAACTGTCACTAGCTTTTCAAAGTCAAAAAGAAGGGCTTGAGCCCCTAATCTTTCAATGGTAGGAGTGTCAAAGAATTTGCAGCCGTGTTTTAAAGCTGACAGTTATTCTAGTCTTCAGCATCTGTGTCATTACTACAATAGTCAAGGAAAATTCAGAGGTGTGAGTACTACATTTCTCTCCACAGTCCCAGGGAGAGAATATTTTAAGGGGTTCCGCATTTTCTTGAAAATTTTATATTGGGATTAAATGTACCAAGCCAAACCAAATGACTACCGGGTTTCTTGAGTTCTGTGCTGTAGGCAAGCCTCACACCTATACTACAGAATGCTTTTGGCAGAATTCTTTGCCATCATTATCATTCTGTATAATCAAGGCTTTTATAGTTAGGATACATTGAGCTACTCCAAGATTATTTGGATAATGGACACAGGACATGCATATTTGGAGGGCTGCTCTGGAATTGTGACTCAAAGAGCTCCCGGCCTGTAGGTTTTGTTAAACAATTCAAACCGTTTGGATTCTTTCCCCCTGCTCCCAGTAATACTAGAAACAAATAAATTGAAACTACAGAATGTATGTTGCCTGGGGAAACATACTGAATGCACTTTGGACATAGTTCTTTTTTTTTTTTTTTTTTTTTGTATTATAAGGTGGGAAGAGAATGTGAAAGTGTTTAGGAAGCGAAATTCCTTATTGTCCTTGATAGTGATAAATGGACTTGGCTGGGCTTTTTCTACTCAAATGAAAGTAAGAGGGAGTATTGTTCCACCAGCAGAGATGATTTTCTTTTTACCTCTGTTAATTCCACATGTTGCCTAGAGAATTCCTTTCCCTATGTGGAATATATAACTCAGAATTTGTAAAGACACATAAGGGAAAATGATTTCAGGAAATCAAATTACTTTGGGGGAGAATTGCCACAGTATTTTTTCATAAAACCAAATATGAGAGTTTTTCTAGTGTGTTGCTTAAGACCACTTTGTACCACTGGGTCTGCGGTCAATAAGAACATAACCATCAAAATGTGTCTTTAAGTCATCACAGCAGTCTGTAAAACTACCAGTACAGGTTAAGCCCTTTGTTTGAATTAAGGTAACAGGTCAACTAGAGTTCTTGCTATGTATCAAGATAATTAATACTTAGCAGCAAGTTTTATGGTACGATTTTCTTGATACCTTGCTCCTCCTTCCACAGGGAAGGTAACTGTGGCCGGGGGGAGCATGATGGAAGGGTATATCCCTGCTAAATGCTGATTATACTGTATTGTATAAGAGCAAGACTCTAAGATTCCTGGTTAGGAAAATAAAAGAAATTAGTTAACAACTTGGTTACCGTTAACTTCTATTCAACAGCCTGATTTGTAACTTGGTTAAGTGTGGACTAGACTCAATGAAATGGCATACCTGGCAGTGTGTAGCACAAAAGAAATTCTTGATAAATGAGAGCTGTGTCATTAGGTTCCCAAAAAAGAAACAGATGGCATATTCCAGTTGAATTAATTTGAGAAGAGTTTTGGAAAGGAACTCTTTATAAAGGTCTGGGAAGAATGTAGTGAGACCCCAAGCTTAGTACAACTGGGCAGTATGACCACCAGAGGCCTGAACTAATAAGAAAAAGGGGCAGTTGTGAGAGCCTGAAGACAGAGAGAATCATAGTTGGAGAGGGTTGCCTGGCAGGAGCTGTGACTTTCAGTAGAGGGATGAAGCCAGTTTATGAAAATCCCACAGGGAGGGAACTGGGGGGGGCGGCGGGATTCTCTAACTAGAGCCAATGATTTAGGGAGTTCTCTGATAACAGTCACATGGGTCAGCCCCACAGGGGCACAAAGCAGGATACATGAACAGTGGATTTAGAGGAGCAAGTGGAAAATGGAGTCAGCATAATATGTTCATTGTTACTATTATTCTTTTATTTTCATTTTTCCAATATCTGGTCCCAGAATACTCAATATTTTGTGCAGCACTTGGAATCTGGAAGCACAATTATTATCTGTTGATTAAATGAGTAAATGAATGAACAAATTCTCACCTATGATTGTTTCAGGTAGGAATTAAATCAGGTTGATATTAAAAGAAACCCAACTACAGTGGCTTGAAAACCCAAGAGTTATTTTCTACATAAAAGAAATCTGAAGACAGACTCGCCAAGATTTCCAAAGAGGTAGTATTTTTCTGAGTACATTGTTACTTTAAATTAAAGCCATTACTAAGGAAGAAGGTCAGCATTCTTTTGACCAGATGAATGGACTTCAAAAAACAAATTTTGACACCTGAGAAAAGATAGTTACGGAAGAGCCATGTAAGCTATCTTACCATATCTGTTTCCTAGGTAGGATTTGAACTAACCGAATAAACTTGTGATTTGAAACAATTATCTGGACAGTGGAAGGAAAAAACCAACAGCAACCAATGACTGATGTACTCTGTGTGTGTGTGTGTGTGTGTGTGTGTGTGTGTGTGTATGCACACGCACATGTGTGCATTGGGGGTTATCTTCCAGGTTTAATTTTATAAATCCTTCCCCATCTCACCTGTGCAGTTCACAAATCATGAATCATGATTCATGATGCTGAATCATGTTTGTCCCCCCAAAGCTAGCTTTAAAAATAGCCCCAAAACATCATTAAATCTAGGGCCCAAATGGATTTTTCCTTCAAATTAAAAAAGAAGAAGAAGGAGGAGGAGGAGGAGGAAACAAATTTAGGAGAGTACAAAGGGTAATACATCAAACTCCCATGTTCTCTCCAGTCATAACGGAAAATTAACATTTAAAAAGCATTTGCTCAGAGCACCATATTGACTCAGTTGGTTAAGCATCTGCCTTAGGCTCAGGTCATGGCCCCAGGGTCCTGGGATGGAGCCTGGCTTTGGGCTCCCTGCTCAGCCTCTCCCTGTGCCTCTGCCTCTCTCCCTGTTTGTGCTCGCACACACACACACTCTCTCTCTCTGTATGTTAAATAAATAAAATTCCTTAAAAAAACATTTGCTTTTTTTAAAAGTAAAAATTATAAAACAAATTTGTCCTCGCTGGTCCAAAGCCAAATATACAGGAAGAGTGGAAGAGAATGCTAAGGGCAGGAGTTTTTTTTTTCAGAGTCACATTTGGGTCTCTGGGGGAGATAGCCTTGCAAGTTTTCCATATACCAACTTGGGAGTTGGCCAATTCAATGTGAATTGGGAAGTTCTCTCCATGGCCGGTACAGGGAGGACAGAAATATAGCTTTCCAGAACTCTTCTAATTCCTGTGTGTCACTGATTGGTCCCAGGATTTCCTGAAAGTGGAGGAGGAAATGAGGTTGGGGATAAGGGTCCAATGTGAAGATTGTTCTGTGGAAATCAGCAGGCCTGAGCAGGATGGTCTTATGGCAGAGGCTGTGGGATCAAACTCAGAGTAGAGCCAGAGAGAAGACATGGAAGAGACCCAGGAGGTCTTGAGTACCTGCAAGCTCTAAGATAAGACCAAGTCAGCCTGGTAGCACCACTCAGCCAGTCCCATTCAGAAAGACCAGACAGCAGAGGACAGCCGTTGCCAACTTCAGCTGCAGATGCCAGCAAGGAAAGCATGACCAGGCAGGAAAGAGAGATCCCAAGCAGGGATCCCAGTTCCCCTCACTCCACCACCACGGGATGACTCCATCACCCAGAGAATTAGGGTAAGTCTGAAGGGACCAGTCTTTTTACCCAGAGTCACACAATAGATACTATTTAAATCACTTTCATAGGTTGAATGTTAATTGCTTTTTAAAATATGCTCCATTTTTCTATCAATATATTTACATGATTTATAAGCTGAAACAATGTACAGAGATTTAAAGGAAAGAATCCTGTTTCCCTCTATCCCAACCCTACTCCCCCAAGAGCACTCCCACCAAAGACATTATTTTAGCTTCTGATGTATCTTTCCAGAGTTTATGCTATTACTAGCAAATGTGAATATATATTCTTAATCTGATTTTTCATTTTCTTAAAGATGGCATCACTATTTTTTTCTCATTTAAAATACATTATTGGGATTTCCATATCTGTATGGTATTACAATGTATTTGTTGTTTTTTGGGAGGGTATTTCATTATAAGGATGCTTCATAATTTATTCAACTCTTTCCTTATCGATGGACATAGATAACATTTTGCTATTACAAACAGTGGTTCAATGAATGACTTTATAAATGTATTATTTTTGTTGACATGAGATAGATCTTTAACAAAAACCTAAGGGGTTGAACTTTAAGTGAATGTGTATACTGGATTATGCCACAGCATACTGGAACATTGCTAAGTTTGATGGTCCCAGGCACGCAGTGACTAATAACTTTTGGGTGATCAAATCAGTTAATAAAGAAATAAAGAAGCCACATAATCTTGGTACATCTAAGAGTATTGTCAGTAAGTTTGTGACTTTACTTCATAGGCATGCATATATGTAAGCACACGTTAAAAATATAAAATTGGGCGCCAGTCTTGTAAAAGTTGTGTAATAGGGAGCCACTAAGGCCTGACTACACAAAGGGCTCAATGATAGGATTTACAAAGAATGGCAAGGAAATTGTCTTGGAAATCTAAGAGCGGGGGACGGGTTAGGGCAAGCCCCTTGTGGAACAGGCTGGAGTGTGGGTCTGCATCTGAGGCAGCTGCCAAGACTTCCAGTGGCTGCCCTCCAACTGTCTTTTCACTCTGTCTTCAACTGCTCTACTTGTTCTTAACTTGTGTGCCCCCATACTTTCAGCTTCCTACTTCTCGCAGCGGCTCCTCCAGTGTCAGTTTTACCTTATGACCTTTTAACTGAGCTGTCAAACTTACTGTCTCATGATTTCTGGATTTTTAGTACAAATTTCAAATTTTGCCCTGCTCATTTTTCCATCAAGCCTGTACAGATAATAGGTTGTTGGTAAATGGACTGTTTGGTTACTCTTCGATCTGTTACTCACTCATGAACCAATCAGCGACCCTGGAGTGAGGACCACGTGGTCAAACAAATTCTCAGTCACCGCCTCCCTGCAGGGAGAGGAGCTGGTGGGGCTTTCTTCCTTACAGCACAGTGTGGTCAGGCAGGCACTGTAACATTTCTAATGTCCAGAATCAAAACGTTTTATTCATGTCCTTTAATATCAATTTAACATGATTAAAAATGACTGCCTAGTTGTCTATCACATGGTATTTCTGTAATTTATATTATGAATTCCTTTTGCTTGACACTGGAGTATATACGTAGCCAGGGGAGAAGGATGAAACAACGATGAGCTTTGAAGAGAGGTCAAGAAATTGATCAAAACCTGATCAAACTTCCTCCCTTATACATGTGTAGAAAAAAATGATATTGAGGTATTAACTGGAGCATGTGTCCTCTCCCCTCCACCCTGTCCCCACCATCTTCCTTTGCCTCTTGTACTCTCCTCACCACCACTGGGACAGTTTCTTGGAAAAGATGACACAAGTAGGCGATTCTCCATGCTTGAGTATTAAAATAGACCTTTGGAATGATAGCAAAAATAACTGTCTTGAAAGAAAAGGTGTTTTGAGTTACAAGAGCCTAGGTTCTGAAGACTTCAGAACAGAATAATGAAGAAAATGTTCCCAGTTCAAGACAATTTTTCCCATCCTTTCAACTAGGGTATCCATAAGAGAGAAGAATCAGAGCACACTTAGACACTGTTGTTTTCCGGAGAGGGAGCTTGTACTTTGGTCCGTACTGCTGGGGCTGCTCCTCCTAGAGCCAAAAAAGGCAGCAAGCCTTATGGGTCCCATTTCAGCATTGTGGTAGGGAAGCAACAGAGTAGAGATGGAGAGCGGGGAATCTCTGCACAGAGGAGACTGAGTCAGCTCTGATGGTCCCCCAAACCCAGCAGATCTGGAGAAGCAGCAGAATGCTTTCCTGAGACACCAAGAATGGGCAAAGGCTGTTGATAGAGAGAGCCGGACCTAAGTGACTTTGAGGTCAGAAGGAGATAAGAGCCAGATGTACCCATGACCTGAGGCCAGGTGGGAAAGAGGATATTTCAGATATTTCTGTCCCAGGACAGAAGAGGACCAGGGCCTAGACCTCTGTGATGCCTTGGAATGCCCTACATCCCCTGACTTAGACACAACCATGGGCAGAGGCAGGCTGCATTAGACCTCAGGGGTAATAGGACATAAAAATAGAAATTAACTTAGTTGCAGAAAAATGAAATATATTTCAAAAACATGCACTTCTGTCCTGTTTCTGACACTCTTACCTGGTACATAGATTTCTCATGGGTGCAAATATTTGAGCTTAGATAGCCCCTTAGCGCTCATCAAACACTTGGGGGGGAAAACGTGATTTAAGAATAAACAGTCCTCTGTTCCTTTAAGTGTTTTTACATTTCATTAATAGTTGAACTGGTGCCTGACCTCTAAGATATTTTGATAAACATCTCAGAAATGTACACATGATGTTCATATTTTTTGAGGGGTGATTTTTCAGACTTGGCATACTTTAGCAGTAGAAACCTCTCTTCAAACAATATATGAAGGACCTCAATATATGAACAGCTTGAAGGGGTGCTCTGGTGGAAAATCAGAGTCTCCCCTTCCCTCACTGTCCCCTTGACCCCCAAGATGGCCCTGGAGACACCATCTTATAACCCTGGTGACTCATGCACAAGCTGGAAATCCACTACTTGTTCAGCCTCCTTCAGTCCCAATGGCCTCATAAGTAAGAAATGAAATGGTGACATCCCACTTAGCAGGCTGGTCCCCAGTCCCCATGTCTGTTAAGTGAGGAGGATGGACTAGCTCAATAGTGTAATGTCATTAAATCTCCCAAGGGACTTTAAGGATATCTATGCTTGCTCCTCCCCCCACCCTCTGCTGAGATTCCTTGAAGTGGGGCTCAGGAATCTGTATTTTTTAAAAGTCCCCCCCCCCCACTCTAATATGCAGCTAACACAAGAACCACTGAGGAAGATAGTCTTTGAGGACTTCTACAAACAATAAAATTCACATGAATAGGAATTTGGGGAAGAGTACCTTAATTTGACTATCCAGTTGGAACAAACTCTGGAGGGTAGGAGAGTCTTTTGAGAAGTCTTTTTTGAGGAAGTAGAAATAACACATTTTCAATTTCAGTGGTCTTAAGTCAGACAGTGAAGCAGAACAAAATCTATTCTCTCTTTAAGAAAGCAAAAATTTTTCTCTAGCAAAAAAATGTCCTTGAAATAATTGTTTGTCCTTGGCTCCTTGGAAAATCATGGCTGATTGCCTGGTGGTGGGTATAAAAGAAGGGTGATTTGTTCATGTGAATGTCAATATTGCCTTCAGGAGGTAGGAATGTTAAAAACAGTGTTTTAAAATTCTGGAGCCTAGTTACCATATAATTAAATTAAATCTCAGCTAAAATCTTGCCTTCTCTGAGAAGAGTATTATCCGATTTTTGTTAAATATTTAAAAATTAACCCATAAGGAAATGAAAATCATCATTTTAATCTTGCCTCATATTTGTTTAATAATCTCAAATGATTAATTTTCTAATTAAGGAAATGGAATTGATTTTGGAAAGTTATCATGTAGTATTCATGGTTGAAATGTTCAATATTTCATAATGACATTTAGCCCAGTTTAATAAAAATTCTGCAGTTTTCTAAAAAAGCATTCCCAAAATGTGTGCTATGACTGCCGCAAGAGGTTAATAGAAGTCATACACATGAAATATTTCTATATGGAAAGAAGTTTGGGAAACACAGCAGTCATTTATAGAAGTCTGGGTTTGAGTTTCAACACCTTAATTAAAGTTCTTAGAAATGTCCTTTATAATAGGTGCTTTCACCTCAAGATTATTTATAGACATAGAGTAAAAGGCAAAGACAGATTTTTTTTTTTTGAAGTTGTTATTCCCAACCTAACCTCTGTTTACTCAGAAACCATAACAAGGGGGGAACCCACTTCTGATTCTGGGTTCTCCAAATGGGAATATTAAGAGATTATATGGTAATTCTAAGCAGGGAGCAGAGCAGCTCAAGGTCTAAGTAATAAGGTTCCTGTCAGAATTCAGAGAAGGAAGCAGATGGAAGGACACAATTTGGGGATGAGTTGTTGATTTTTATCCCTTCATTACGGAGAAGTCTAACACGTGATGAGCTACACTAGTAGCTACACTGTCCAGTATGGTAGTCGCTAGCCATATGGGGCTATTTAAATTTGAATGTAATTCACTGAAATTACATAAAATTTAAAATTCAACTCCACAGATGCACTAACCACATTTCAAGTGCCTAACAGCCACAGATGAATGTTTCCATCATGACACAAAGTTTCTTTGGAAACACACAGGCCTCGATTATGGGTCCTAGCAGTTGAACCCTAACTCAGGCTCAGAGTTTTGTCCTCTGCTGTAGGTCTGGGACCTTCCCCATCTACCTATGCCCAGCACCCTTGTCTTAGCGATTGGTTTTCATTTTATATTTCACATGGTTTTCTCTTTCTAGGTGCTCTCTTAGTCTCTACAGTAGTTTCATTTACCTTTTATTTTCTGAGACTTAACTGAGCTCCGCAGTGGTTCTTCCTATTGTCATGGGGCCGACTAGGATCTCTCCTGTGCCTGTAGTCAGCTGCAAGCTCTATGGGACCCGAGTGTCCAAGATGGCATCAGCTCCCTGCTGGGCACATCAGCTAGGTGACTGGCATGGCTGCAAGCT